GTATACACCGGCAAACAGTATACACCAGCAAATAGTATACACCAGCAAATAGTATACACCAGCAAATAGTATACACCGGCAAACAGTATACACCAGCAAACAGTATACACCAGCAAATAGTATACACCAGCAAATAGTATACACCGGCAAACAGTATACACCAGCAAATAGTATACACCAGCAAACAAACAGTATACACCAGAAAATAGTATACACCGGCAAACAGTATACACCAGCAAACAGTAGACACCAGCAAATAGTATACACCAGCAAATAGTATACACCAGCAAATAGTATACACCGGCAAACAGTATACACCAGCAAATAGTATACACCAGCAAATAGTATACACCAGCAAACAAACAGTATACACCGGCAAACAGTATACACCAGCAAATAGTATACACCAGCAAATAGTATACACCAGCAAATAGTATACACCAGCAAATAGTATACACCAGCAAATAGTATACACCAGCAAATAGTATACACCAGCAAATAGTATACACCAGCAAACAGTATACACCAGCAAATAGTATACACCAGCAAATAGTATACACCAGCAAATAGTATACACCAGCAAATAGTATACACCAGCAAATAGTATACACCAGCAAACAAACACTATACACCAGCAAATAGTATACACCAGCAAACAAACAGTATACACCGGCAAACAGTATACACCAACAAACAGTATACACCAGCAAATAGTATACACCAGCAAACAAACAGTATACACCGGCAAACAGTATACACCAGCAAATAGTATACACCGGCAAATAGTATACACCAGCAAATAGTATACACCAGCAAATAGTATACACCGGCAAATAGTATACACCGGCAAACAAACAGTATACACCAGCAAACAAACAGTATACACCAGCAAACAAACAGTATACACCAGCAAACAAATAGTATACACCAGCAAACAAACAGTATACACCAACAAACAGTATACACCAGCAAACAAACAGTATACACCAGCAAACAAACAGTATACACCAGCAAACAAACAGTATACACCAACAAACAAACAGCAGACACCAGCAAACAAACAGCAGACACCAGCAAACAAACAGTATACACCGGAAAACAAACAGTATATACCAGCAAACAAACAGTATACACCAACAAACAAACAGCAGACACCAGCAAACAGTATACACCAACAAACAAACAGTATACACCAACAAACAGTATACACCGGCAAACAAACAGTATACACCAGCAAACAAACAGTATACACCAACAAACAAACAGCAGACACCAGCAAACAAACAGTATACACGGGCAAACAAACAGTATACACCAGCAAACAAACAGTATACACCAGCAAACAAACAGTATGCACCAGCAAACAAACAGTATACACCGGCATACAGTATACACTGGCAAACAAACAGTATACACCGGCATACAGTATACACTGGCAAACAAACAGTATACACTGGCAAACAGTATACACCGGCATACAGTATACACCGGCATACAGTATACACCGGCATACAGTATACACCGGCATACAGTATACACCGGCATACAGTATACACCGGCATACAGTAAACACCGGCATACAGTATACACCGGCATACAGTATACACCGGCATACAGTATACACTGGCAAACAAACAGTATACACCGGCATACAGTATACACCAACAAACAGTATACACCAACAAACAGTATACACCAACAAACAGTATACACCAACAAACAGTATACACCAACAAACAGTATACACTGGCAAACAAACAGTATACACTGGCAAACAAACAGTATACACCGGCATACAGTATACACCAACAAACAGTATACACCAACAAACAGTATACACCGGCAAACAAACAGTATACACCGGCAAACAAACAGTATACACCAACAAACAGTATACACCAACAAACAGTATACACCAACAAACAGTATACACCGGCAAACAGTATACACCAACAAACAAACAGTATACACCAACAAACAAACAGTATACACCAACAAACAAACAGTATACACCAACAAACAGTATACACCAACAAACACTATACACCAACAAACAAACACTATACACCAACAAACAGTATACACCAACAAACAGTATACACCAACAAACAAACAGTATACACCAACAAACAAACAGTATACACCAACAAACAAACAGTATACACCAACAAACAGTATACACCAACAAACAGTATACACCAACAAACAAACACTATACACCAACAAACAGTATACACCAACAAACAAACAGTATACACCAACAAACAGTATACACCAACAAACAAACAGTATACACCAACAAACAGTATACACCAACAAACAGTATACACCGGCAAACAAACAGTATACACCAACAAACAAAATACACCAACAAACAGTATACACCAACAAACAGTATACACCAACAAACAGTATACACCGGCTAACAAACAGTATACACCAACAAACAGTATATACCGGCAAACAAACAGTATACACCAACAAACAAACAGTATACACCAACAAACAAACAGTATACACCGGCATACAGTATACACTGGCATACAGTTTACACCAACAAACAAACAGTATACACCGGCAAACAAACAGTATACACCAACAAACAGAATACACCAACAAAAAGAATACAAAAACAAACAGTATACACCAACAAACAGTATACACCGGCTAACAAACAGTATACACCAACAAACAGTTTACACCAACAACCAAACAGTATACACCGGCAAACAAACAGTATACACCAACAAACAGTATACACCAACAAACAGAATACACCAACAAACAGTATACACCAACAAACAGTATACACCAACAAAATGTATACTCCAACAAACAGTATACACCAACAAACAGAATACACCAACAAACAGAATACACCAACAAACAGAATACACCAACAAACAGTATACACTAGCAATCAATCATGTACAGACTGGGGGAGGATGGGGAGGGGGGAGGCTGAACATGCAAATGACAGACAGAGGAAGACTGGAACACACCCAAACAAATAACACACCACTTGTATGTTACAGTCAGCTAAGGTTGTAACACACCATACACAACACACCACTTGTATGTTACAGTCAGCCAAGATTGTAACACACCATACACAACACACCACTTGTATGTTACAGTCAGCCAAGATTGTAAAACACCATATACAACACACCACTTGTATGTTACAGTCAGCCAAGATTGTAAAACACCATACACAACACACTACTTGTATGTTACAGTCAGCCAAGATTGGGACACACCATACACAACACACCACTTGGATGTTACAGTCAGCCAAGATTGTAACACACCATACACAACACACCACTTATTTGTTAGTTGGCCAAGGTTGTAACCCATCCAAACAAACAAAAGACCACTTGTATGTTACAGTCAGCCAAGATTGGAACACATCCACATACCACTTGTTTGTTAGTCGGCTAGAGTTGTAACTTACCATATACAACACACCACTTGTTTGTTAGTCGGTCAAGGTTGTAACTCATCCAAACAAACAAAAGACCACTTGTATGTTACAGTCAGCCAAGATTGGAACACATCCACATACCACTTGGTTGTTAGTCGGCTAAAGTTGTAACTTGCCATACACAGCCCACCACTTGTTTGTTAGTCGGCCAAGGTTGTAACTCACCCAAACAAACAAAAGACCACTTGTATGTTACAGTCGGCCAAGGTTGGAACACACCCAAACAAACAACACACCACTTGTATGTTACAGTCGGCCAAGGTTGGAACACACACAAACAACACACCACTTGTATGTTAGCGGCCAAGGTTGGAACACACACAAACAAACACACCACTTGTATGTTACAGTCGGCCAAGGTTGGAACACACACAAACAAACAACACACCACTTGTATGTTACAGTCGGCCAAGGTTGGAACACACACAAACAACACACCACTTGTATGTTACAGTCGGCCAAAGTTGGAACACACACAAACAAACAACACACCACTTGTATGTTACAGTCGGCCACAGTTGGAACACACACAAACAAACAACACACCACTTGTATGTTACAGTCAGCCAAGGTTGGAACACACACAAACAAACAACACACCACTTGTATGTTACAGTCGGCCAAGGTTGGAACACACACAAACAAACAACACACCACTTGTATGTTACAGTCGGCCAAGGTTGGAACACACACAAACAACACACCACTTGTATGTTAGCGGCCAAGGTTGGAACACACACAAACAAACACACCACTTGTATGTTACAGTCGGCCAAGGTTGGAACACACACAAACAAACAACACACCACTTGTATGTTACAGTCGGCCAAGGTTGGAACACACACAAACAACACACCACTTGTATGTTACAGTCGGCCAAAGTTGGAACACACACAAACAAACAACACACCACTTGTATGTTACAGTCGGCCACAGTTGGAACACACACAAACAAACAACACACCACTTGTATGTTACAGTCAGCCAAGGTTGGAACACACACAAACAAACAACACACCACTTGTATGTTACAGTCGGCCAAGGTTGGAACACACACAAACAAACAACACACCACTTGTATGTTACAGTCAGCCAAGGTTGGAACACACACAAACAAACAACACACCACTTGTATGTTACAGTCGGCCAAGGTTGGAACACACACAAACAAACAACACACCACTTGTATGTTACAGTCGGCCAAGGTTGGAACACACACAAACAAACAACACACCACTTGTATGTTACAGTCGGCCAAGGTTGGAACACACACAAACAACACACCACTTGTATGTTACAGTCGGCCAAAGTTGGAACACACACAAACAAACAACACACCACTTGTATGTTACAGTCGGCCAAGGTTGGAACACACACAAACAAACAACACACCACTTGTATGTTACAGTCGGCTAAGGTTGGAACACACACAAACAAACAACACACCACTTGTATGTTACAGTCAGCCAAGGTAGGAACACAGACACTGACCACCAGCAGACATGGCACTGACCTGATCCAGAGACAGAGCTGTGACACTGCCCTCGTGGCCATGCATGGTGTACAGGCACAGTGAGTTCTCCAGCCGGAACACCTGCTCAACATAAGATCACACAGCTAGAGGTTAGTTACCTTGTGACCACAGCATCAAGATCTGCAAGCACTGTAGCCATGCCCTCATGTCTGACCTTAGTGCAGCCAAAGAATCAACATGTCAAACCAGTTTTGTTGACTTATATGGAAAACTCTATTATTGTTTAAATAATGCGGACACAAACTATACATTGAACAATTGATTGCCAGGCATATTTCGCTATATCTCGTCAGGTGCGTTACTACAGAGTTACATCAACATAAAATGAAGCACAAAACGGAATAAATCCAACTGAAATGCGAAGTTTCTTTCGACACATAGTGTGTGTTTTGGCCGCCGGAAGCTCACTGTAGTCACGTGACTTACCAGGGTAACTTAGTCACGTGAATTACCAGGGTAACTTCAAATTTTACAATAAATTATGTCTGCTCACAAAGGAGAAGGTTGTAGATTTTAATTGTTAAAGCTTCGGCCATTTTTAACAGTCTCCAGTTCGGAGTGTGATAAACCATACGGAAAGCACTGTGTGTGTATTATTATTACTTTTTTCCAGTGTATACTGTTTGATGGTGTCTGACTATTTTTGTTGTTTGCAAATACAATATCTCTTCTACCTTGAGATTTTGCAAATTCAAAATTCTACCTTGGGATTCAACAAATTCAGAATTCTAGCTTAAGATTCTATAAATTCAAAATTCCACATTGAGATTCTATAAATTCAAAATCTAAAGGAAAAAAAAAATCATAATTCTGCTTAGATTTTCCTCCTCACCTTTGAATGATTATTTCCAACAAACTTTTTTGTTGCTGACATGGCTCAAGAATGAACAACAAACTCCTGCTGACATGGCTCAAGATGACTGTCATCAAACTCTTGCTGACATGGCTCAAAATGACTGTTATCAGAGTGACACAGTCAGTGAGAGCTAGTTGAAGTGACACAGTCAGTGAGAGCTAGTTGAAGTGACACAGTCAGTGAGAGCTAGTTGAAGTGACACAGTCAGTGAGAGCTAGTTGATGTGACACAGTCAGTGAGAGCTAGTTGAAGTGACACAGTCAGTGAGAGCTAGTTGAAGTGACACAGTCAGTGAGAGCTAGTTGAAGTGACACAGTCAGTGAGAGCTAGTTGAAGTGACACAGTCAGTGAGAGCTAGTTGAAGTGACACAGTCAGTGAGAGCTAGTTGAAGTGACACAGTCAGTGAGAGCTAGTTGAAGTGACACAGTCAGTGAGAGCTAGTTGAAGTGACACAGTCAGTGAGAGCTAGTTGAAGTGACACAGTCAGTGATAGCTAGTTGAAGTGACACAGTCAGTGAGAGCTAGTTGAAGTGACAGTCAGTGAGAGCTAGTTGAAGTGACACTGTCAGTGAGAGCTAGTTGAAGTGACACAGTCAGTGAGAGCTAGTTGAAGTGACACAGTCAGTGAGAGCTAGTTGAAGTGACACAGTCAATGAGAGCTAGTTGAAGTGACACAGTCAGTGAGAGCTATAAAAGTGACACAGTCAGTGAGAGCTATAGAAGTGACACAGTCAGTGAGAGCTATAGAAGTGACACAGTCAGTGAGAGCTATAGAAGTGACACAGTCAGTGAGAGCTGGTTGAAGTGACACAGTCAGTGAGAGCTATAGAAGTGACACAGTCAGTGAGAGCTATAGAAGTGACACAGTCAGTGAGAGCTATAGAAGTGACACAGTCAGTGATAGCTAGTTGAAGTGACACAGTCAGTGAGAGCTGGTTGAAGTGACACAGTCAGTGAGAGCTAGTTGAAGTGACAGTCAGTGAGAGCTATTTGAAGTGACACAGTCAGTGAGAGCTAGTTGAAGTGACACAGTCAGTGAGAGCTAGTTGAAGTGACACAGTCAGTGAGAGCTAGTTGAAGTGACACAGTCAGTGAGAGCTAGTTGAAGTGACACAGTCAGTGAGAGCTATAGAAGTGACACAGTCAGTAAGAGCTATAGAAGTGACACAGTCAGTGAGAGCTATAGAAGTGAGACAGTCAGTGAGAGCTGGTTGAAGTGACACAGTCAGTGAGAGCTAGTTGAAGTGACACAGTCAGTGAGAGCTATAGAAGTGACACAGTCAGTGAGAGCTAGTAGAAGTGACACAGTCAGTGAGAGCTAAAGAAGTGACACAGTCAGTGAGAGCTATAGAAGTGACACAGTCAGTGAGAGCTAGTTGAAGTGACACAGTCAGTGAGAGCTAGTTGAAGTGACACAGTCAGTGAGAGCTAAAGAAGTGAGACAGTCAGTGAGAGCTATAGAAGTGAAACAGTCAGTGAGAGCTGGTTGAAGTGACATAGTCAGTGAGAGCTAGTTGAAGTGACACAGTCAGTGAGAGCTAGTTGAAGTGACACAGTCAGTGAGAGCTATAGAAGTGACACAGTCAGTGAGAGCTATAGAAGTGACACAGTCAGTGAGGGATTATAGAAGTGACACAGTCAGTGAGAGCTAGTTGAAGTGACACAGTCAGTGAGAGCTAGTTGAAGTGACACAATCAGTGAGAGCTAGTTGAAGTGACACAGTCAGTGAGAGCTAGTTGATGTGACACAGTCAGTGAGAGCTGGTTGAAGTGACACAGTCAGTGAGAGCTAGTTGAAGTGACACAGTCAGTGAGAGCTAGTTGAAGTGACACAGTCAGTGAGAGCTAGTTGATGTGACAGTCAGTGAGAGCTAGTTGAAGTGACACAGTCAGTGAGAGCTAGTTGAAGTGATACAGTCAGTGAGAGCTAGTTGAAGTGACACAGTCAGTGAGAGCTAGTTGATGTGACACAGTCAGTGAGAGCTAGTTGAAGTGACACAGTCAGTGAGAGCTAGTTGAAGTGACACAGTCAGTGAGAGCTAGTTGAAGTGACACAGTCAGTGAGAGCTAGTTGAAGTGACACAGTCAGTGAGAGCTGGTTGAAGTGACACAGTCAGTGAGAGCTAGTTGAAGTGACACAGTCAGTGAGAGCTAGTTGAAGTGACACAGTCAGTGAGAGTCAGTGAGAGCTGTTGAAGTGACAGTCAGTGAGAGCTAGTTGAAGTGACACAGTCAGTGAGAGCTAGTTGAAGTGATACAGTCAGTGAGAGCTAGTTGAAGTGACACAGTCAGTGAGAGCTAGTTGATGTGACACAGTCAGTGAGAGCTAGTTGAAGTGACACAGTCAGTGAGAGCTAGTTGAAGTGACACAGTCAGTGAGAGCTAGTTGAAGTGACACAGTCAGTGAAAGCTAGTTGAAGTGACACAGTCAGTGAGAGCTAGTTGAAGTGACACAGTCAGTGAGAGCTAGTTGAAGTGACACAGTCAGTGAGAGCTAGTTGAAGTGACACAGTCAGTGAGAGCTAGTTGAAGTGACACAGTCAGTGAGAGCTAGTTGAAGGGACACGGTCAGTGAGAGCTAGTTGAAGTGACACAGTCAGTGAGAGCTAGTTGAAGGGACACGGTCAGTGAGAGCTAGTTGAAGTGACACAGTCAGTGAGAGCTAGTTGAAGTGACACAGTCAGTGAGAGCTAGTTGAAGGGACACGGTCAGTGAGAGCTAGTTGAAGTGACACAGTCAGTGAGAGCTAGTTGAAGTGACACAGTCAGTGAGAGCTAGTTGAAGTGACACAGTCAGTGAGAGCTAGTTGAAGTGACACAGTCAGTGAGAGCTAGTTGAAGTGACACAGTCAGTGAGAGCAAGTTGAAGTGACACAGTCAGTGAAAGCTAGTTGAAGTGACACAGTCAGTGAGAGCTAGTTGAAGTGACACAGTCAGTGAGAGCTAGTTGAAGTGACACAGTCAGTGAGAGCTAGTTGAAGTGACACAGTCAGTGATAGCTAGTTGAAGTGACACAGTCAGTGAGAGCTAGTTGAAGTGACACAGTCAGTGAGAGCTAGTTGAAGTGACACTGTCAGTGAGAGCTAGTTGAAGTGACACAGTCAGTGAGAGCTAGTTGAAGTGACACAGTCAGTGAGAGCTAGTTGAAGTGACACAGTCAGTGAGAGCTAGTTGAAGTGACACAGTCAGTGAGAGCTAGTTGAAGTGACACAGTCAGTGAGAGCTAGTTGAAGTGACACAGTCAGTGAGAGCTAGTTGAAGTGACACAGTCAGTGAGAGCTAGTTGAAGTGACACAGTCAGTGAGAGCTAGTTGAAGTGACACAGTCAGTGAAAGCTAAAGAAGTGAGACAGTCAGTGAGAGCTATAGAAGTGAAACAGTCAGTGAGAGCTGGTTGAAGTGACACAGTCAGTGAGAGCTAGTTGAAGTGACACAGTCAGTGAGAGCTAGTTGAAGTGACACAGTCAGTGAGAGCTAGTTGAAGTGACACAGTCAGTGAGAGCTAGTTGAAGTGACACAGTCAGTGAGAGCTATAGAAGTGACACAGTCAGTGAGAGCTATAGAAGTGACACAGTCAGTGAGGGATTATAGAAGTGACACAGTCAGTGAGAGCTAGTTGAAGTGACACAGTCAGTGAGAGCTAGTTGATGTAACACAGTCAGTGAGAGCTAGTTGATGTGACACAGTCAGTGAGAGCTAGTTGAAGTGACACAGTCAGTGAGAGCTAGTTGAAGTGACACAGTCAGTGAGAGCTAGTTGAAGTGACACAGTCAGTGAGAGCTAGTTGATGTGACACAGTCAGTGAGAGCTAGTTGAAGTGACATAGTCAGTGAGAGCTAGTTGAAGTGACACAGTCAGTGAGAGCTAGTTGAAGTGACACAGTCAGTGAGAGCTAGTTGAAGTGACACAGTCAGTGAGAGCTAGTTGAAGTGACACAGTCAGTGAGAGCTAGTTGAAGTGACACAGTCAGTGAGAGCTAGTTGAAGTGACACAGTCAGTGAGAGCTAGTTGAAGTGACACAGTCAGTGAGAGCTAGTTAAAGTGACACAGTCAGTGAGAGCTATAGAAGTGACACAGTCAGTGAGAGCTATAGAAGTGACACAGTCAGTGAGGGATTATAGAAGTGACACAGTCAGTGAGAGCTAGTTGAAGTGACACAGTCAGTGAGAGCTAGTTGATGTAACACAGTCAGTGAGAGCTAGTTGAAGTGACACAGTCAGTGAGAGCTAGTTGAAGTGACACAGTCAGTGAGAGCTAGTTGAAGTGACACAGTCAGTGAGAGCTAGTTGAAGTGACACAGTCAGTGAGAGCTAGTTGATGTGACACAGTCAGTGAGAGCTAGTTGAAGTGACACAGTCAGTGAGAGCTAGTTGAAGTGACACAGTCAGTGAGAGCTAGTTGAAGTGACACAGTCAGTGAGAGCTAGTTGAAGGGACACGGTCAGTGAGAGCTAGTTGATGTGACACAGTCAGTGAGAGCTAGTTGAAGGGACACGGTCAGTGAGAGCTAGTTGAAGTGACACAGTCAGTGAGAGCTAGTTGATGTGACACAGTCAGTGAGAGCTAGTTGATGTGACACAGTCAGTGAGAGCTAGTTGATGTGACACAGTCAGTGAGAGCTAGTTGAAGTGACACAGTCAGTGAGAGCTAGTTGAAGTGACACAGTCAGTGAGAGCTAGTTGAAGTGACACAGTCAGTGAGAGCTAGTTGAAGTGACACAGTCAGTGAGAGCTAGTTGAAGTGACACAGTCAGTGAGAGCTAGTTGAAGGGACACGGTCAGTGAGAGCTAGTTGATGTGACACAGTCAGTGAGAGCTAGTTGAAGGGACACGGTCAGTGAGAGCTAGTTGAAGTGACACAGTCAGTGAGAGCTAGTTGATGTGACACAGTCAGTGAGAGCTAGTTGATGTGACACAGTCAGTGAGAGCTAGTTGAAGTGACACAGTCAGTGAGAGCTAGTTGATGTGACACAGTCAGTGAGAGCTAGTTGATGTGACACAGTCAGTGAGAGCTAGTTGAAGGGACACGGTCAGTGAGAGCTAGTTGAAGTGACACAGTCAGTGAGAGCTAGTTGATGTGACACAGTCAGTGAGAGCTAGTTGAAGTGACACAGTCAGTGAGAGGTGGAATGATGAGGAGAATCTTCAAAAGAATAAATCTAGAAATTGATCCAAAGTAGGAGAAAGAGGCGTGTCCCTCAAACAGCAACATCTGGTGCTCACTTTGTGAAACAAGACTGATCCTGCTAAGTGGATTGGCACACAAAGGTGGAATATTGGGGCTAGATAAAAGGTAAACCTATTTTCTACAATGTCTCCAGGTTTCATCTTATTCTAGCCACTTGTTTGCATGTTACAAATATTTGTGTATATCATGTTGGGCGCATTAATGCCCAGGAACTCAGGTTATAGGGACAGTTAGGTTCAGGGCCTCAGGTCTGGTAGGGTTAATGCCCAGGAGCTCCGGTTATAGGGACAGTTAGGTTCAGGGCCTCAGGTCTGGTAGGGTTAATGCCCAGGAGCTCAGGTTATAGGGACAGTTAGGTTCAGTTCCTCAGGTCTGGTAGGGTTAATGCCCAGGAGCTCAGGTTATAGGACAGTTAGGTTCAGGGCCTCAGGTCTAGTAGGGTTAATGCAGTTTCCCCATATGGACAAGAATCTAGGGTTGACTGCTTGAGCTACTGAGTTCACTGAGTGCAGAATTGTCAGCATTATTTTATATTTAATGCAATTTGTTTATACCTGCAATATCTTTGTCTGGATATTCCACAAATGGCAGGCAGAACAATGGCTTTTGGGCTGGCAACATTACTGATGTGCATTTGTACAGCCAGCACATCATAACTGACTACTGACTGTCATCAGCAACAAATGACAAAGATGGCGACCACTGTTAGTATCTATAGATGCAGCCGTAAGCACATACTGTGTGTGCACATTTCTGCATTTTGCTGGAACTAATTGTTTGGTCACTAGTTTTCAAATGGGACATTTGGTATGATTGTCCCTCTGTGTATGTGTGTGTGCATGTATGTGCATGTGTAATACATAGATATATGACACTCCTAAATAGATCTCAAGAAGACTGTAATTGTTCCATTATGGATACTCAGTACGACACACAAGTAAACCAAAAAGGTTACACCAGACCATTAACAAGAACTTTCCCAAGAACACACCAGGGCATTACCAAGGACTTTCACAAGAACACACCAGGGCATTAACAAGAACTTTCACAAGAACACACCAGGGCATTAACAAGGACTTTCACAAGAACACACCAGGGCATTAACAAGGACTTTCACAAGGACACTTGCCAGGACATTCACAGGACACTCACAAACAGCTCCACTCACTTTCAATGTGTGATCCTGGCTGGCTGTGACGACCCGACCCCCAGCACACTGGAGGGCATTAATGGGCAGCTGATGTGCTCGGCATGTGGTGACCCCGGCACAGCGGATGACCTCGTCCCAAACTTTGATTGACTGGACACTGCCTGTACTGTAGCTGTGCGAGTGGCCTGTCAGAGAGTCACATGGGCAACTGCCCGCCATAAACATCCTATACTGTTCAATGGTCTAACTAACTTTCTGTAATCTGCCCGCCACAAACATCCTATACTGTTCAATCTTCTAACTAGCTTTCTGTAATCTGCCCTTATATATCATTCTGTACTGTCCTCATGAGTCGGCTCTGTGGCTAAGTCGATGAGAATGCTTCGTAATGCCGGGATGCCAGGTTCGATCCCAGCTGCGGGCCATGCGCCTTGCGTTGGTTTTGACAGTGGTATCAAGAAAGCCGACCGTCCAGAAAGCACTGGCAAACTACTGGACGTAAATTTGCCTAGAAAAACAACACAACAGCCAGGGGCTGTTGGGGTTGGTTCTGCAACGTCCTGTAAAGGATACGCAACTAACCTAAATGTCCTCATGTCTGACAGAAGGAGAGGGAAAAAATAGTGTGTCTGTGTGTGTGCACACGTCCATGTATGTTTTAAAGAGAGGACAAAAGAGAAAAATATATGTAAGAATGTGTGGGAGACAGAGAGAGAAAAAAATGATAATAAGAGGTAGGGGGAGAACAGAAGGAAGGGGGAGAACAGATGGAGCAGGAGACAAATGATAAGAATATATGTGTGTTTGTGTGTGTGAGATAGTGTGTGGTCTTGATGATAAAGGGTAATGTATATCAGCCAGACAGTGTTACTCATAAATCAGTATTGAACCCAGGCCACTGACCTCTTGGTGGACGTGCAGAGCGAGGGCTGGCTGTGTACGGGTTTAGTGCTGGGTTCTGAAACGTCTCCATGTCCAGAAAGTCCAGGCTGCCATCTAGTCTGGCCGCAACAATCCTGCAAGTGAAAGACACAGTCAAGGAGCACTGGTGAACACTCAACTGTTGAGACAGTCAAGGAGCATTGGTCAACACTCAACTGTTGAGACAGTCAGGGAGCATTGGTGAACACTCAACTGTTGAGACAGTCAAGGAGCATTGGTCAACACTCAACTGTTGAGACAGTCAAGGAGCATTGGTGAACACTCAACTGTTGAGACAGTCAAGGAGCATTGGTGAACACTCAACTGTTGAGAGAGTCAGGGAGCATTGGTGAACACTCAACTGTTGAGATAGACAGTCAAGGAGCACTGGTGAGCCCTCAACTGTTGAGACAGACAGTCAAGGAGCACTGGTGAACACTCATCTGTTGAGACAGACAGTCAAGGAGCACTGGTGAACACTCAACTGTTGAGATAGACAGTCAATGAGCACTGGTGAACACTCAACTGTTGAGACAGACAGTCAAGGAGCACTGGTGAACACTCATCTGTTGAGACAGACAGTCAAGGAGCACTGGTGAACACTCATCTGTTGCGACAGACAGTCAAGGAGCACTGGTGAACACTCATCTGTTGAGACAGACAGTCAAGGAGCACTGGTGAACACTCATCTGTTGAGACAGACAGTCAAGGAGAACTGGTGAACACTCAACTGTTGAGATAGACAGTCAATGAGCACTGGTGAACACTCATCTGTTGAGACAGACAGTCAAGGAGCACTGGTGACCACTCATCTGTTGAGATAGACAGTCAAGGAGCACTGGTGAACACTCATCTGTTGAGACAGATAGTCAAGGAGCACTGGTGAACACTCATCTGTTGAGACAGACAGTCAAGGAGCACTGGTGAACACTCAACTGTTGAGACAGGCAGTCAAGGAGCACTGGTGAACACTCAACTGTTGAGACAGACAGTCAAGGAGCACTGGTGAACACTCATTGGTTGAGACAGTCAGACAGTCAGTCAAGGAGCACTGGTGAACAATTAACTGTTGAGACAGACAGTCAAGGAGCACTGGTGAACACTCATCTGTTGAGACAGACAGTCAAGGAGCACTGGTGAACACTCAACTGTTGAGATTGACAGTCAAGGAGCACTGGTGAACCCTCATCTGTTGAGACAGACAGTCAAGGAGCACTGGTGAACACTCATCTGTTGAGATAGACAGTCAAGGAGCACTGGTGAACACTCAACTGTTGAGATTGACAGTCAAGGAGCACTGGTGAACCCTCATCTGTTGAGACAGACAGTCAAGGAGCATTAGTGAACACTCATCTGTTGAGACAGACAGTCAATTTGCCTTTCTTCTTCTTCATTTTCTTCTTCTTCAGCATTTACAGCCCTTGAGTTTGCTGCAGATATCACCCACTTCATTCCATCTCTGTTATCAAGTGGCTCACGTTACTGCAAAAGCACATCATTCTTTTAATATGTAAAAATTATGGGCCAGTCAGTTCCAAAACATATCAAGGTCTTATGCAACTACCACTTCGTGAATGCCTACTTTTCAAAAAGGCTAAATTTTTTAAATAAAATTTTATCCAAAAGGTTTCAATTAATTTATGGCCATTGTTTAAATATAATGAAATGCATTGCAAACGCCTAAACATATTACAAATCCCTAAATCTAGGACAGACCTATATAAAACAAGTTTAGCGTGCCCAGTAGCTCAGCTGTGGAATTATCTTCCACTACAACAAATTAGAAATACCACTTTTCTCTTTACAACAAATAAGAAATACCACTTTTCTCTTTACAACAAATAAGAAATACCACTAGTCCATATACAACAAATAAGAAATACCACTAGTCCATATACAACAAATAAGAAATACTACTAGTCCCTATACAACAAATAAGAAATACTACTAGTCCCTATACAATAAATAAGAAATACCACTAGTCCTTATACAACAAATAAGAAATACTACTAGTCCCTATACAACAAATAAGAAATACCACTAGTCCCTATACAACAAATAAGAAATACCACTAGTCCCTATACAATAAATAAGAAATACCACTAGTCCCTATACAACAAATAAGAAATACTACTAGTCCCTATACAACAAATAAGAAATACCACTAGTCCCTATACAACAAATAAGAAATACTACTAGTCCCTATACAACAAATAAGAAATACTACTAGTCCCTATACAACAAATAAGAAATACTACTAGTCCCTATACAACAAATAAGAAATACTACTAGTCCCTATACAACAAATAAGAAATACCACTAGTCCCTATACAACAAATAAGAAATACTACTAGTCCCTATACAACAAATAAGAAATACTACTAGTCCCTATACAACAAATAAGAAATACTACTAGTCCCTATACAACAAATAAGAAATACCACTAGTCCCTATACAACAAATAAGAAATACCACTAGTCCCTATACAACAAATAAGAAATACTACTAGTCCCTATACAACAAATAAGAAATACCACTAGTCCCTATACAACAAATAAGAAATACCACTAGTCCCTATACAACAAATAAGAAATACTACTAGTCCCTATACAACAAATAAGAAATACTACTAGTCCCTATACAACAAATAAGAAATACTACTAGTCCCTATACAACAAATAAGAAATACCACTAGTCCCTATACAACAAATAAGAAATACCACTAGTCCCTATACAACAAATAAGAAATACTACTAGTCCCTATACAACAAATAAGAAATACTACTAGTCCCTATACAACAAATAAGAAATACTACTAGTCCCTATACAACAAATAAGAAATACCACTAGTCCCTATACAACAAATAAGAAATACTACTAGTCCCTATACAACAAATAAGAAATACCACTAGTCCCTATACAACAAATAAGAAATACTACTAGTCCCTATACAACAAATAAGAAATACTACTAGTCCCTATACAACAAATAAGAAATACTACTAGTCCCTATACAACAAATAAGAAATACTACTAGTCCCTATACAACAAATAAGAAATACCACTAGTCCCTATACAACAAATAAGAAATACTACTAGTCCCTATACAACAAATAAGAAATACCACTAGTCCCTATACAACAAATAAGAAATACTACTAGTCCCTATACAACAAATAAGAAATACCACTAGTCCCTATACAACAAATAAGAAATACTACTAGTCCCTATACAACAAATAAGAAATACTACTAGTCCCTATACAACAAATAAGAAATACCACTAGTCCTTATACAACAAATAAGAAATACCACTAGTCCTTATACAACAAATAAGAAATACCACTAGTCCCTATACAACAAATAAGAAATACTACTAGTCCTTATACAACAAATAAGAAATACTACTAGTCCCTATACAACAAATAAGAAATACCACTAGTCCTTATACAACAAATAAGAAATACTACTAGTCCCTATACAACAAATAAGAAATACTACTAGTCCCTATACAACAAATAAGAAATACCACTAGTCCTTATACAACAAATAAGAAATACTACTAGTCCCTATACAGAAAAACAGAAAGTTCTTGAATATTATCTGAAAACAGATTGCATACCCCTATGAAAGATAAGTAAGTATTTTAGAAATAGTGCACAATTCACATAGATTTATTACAACTACTAGGGTTTACAGTAGTTAGAAATGTGCACAATTCACATAGATTTATTACAACTACTAGGGTTTACAGTAGTTAGAAATGTGCACAATTCACATAGATTTATTACAACTACTAGGGTTTACAGTAGTTAGAAATGTGCACAATTCACATAGATTTATTACAACTACTAGGGTTTACAGTAGTTAGAAATGTGCACAATTCTCTTAGATTTATTACAACTACTAGGGTTTACAGTACTTAGAAATATGCACAGTTCGCTTAGATTTATTACAACTACTAGGGTTTACAGTAGTTAGAAATATGCACAGTTCGCTTAGATTTATTACAACTACTAGGGTTTACAGTAGTTAGAAATATGCACAGTTCTCTTAGATTTATTACAACTACTAGGGTTTACAGTAGTTAGAAATGTGCACAATTCACATAGATTTATTACAACTACTAGGGTTTACCACACACAGATGAGTGATTCATGATTGTTTACCACACACAGATGAGTGACTCATGATTGTTTATCACACACAGATGAGTGACTCATGATTGTTTACCACACACAGATGAGTGACTCATGATTGCTTATCACACACAGATGAGTGACTCATAATTGTTTACCACACACAGATGAGTGACTCATGATTGTTTACCACACACAGATGAGTGACTCATGATTGTTTATCACACACAGATGAGTGATTCATGATTGTTTACCACACACAGATGAGTGACTCATGATTGTTTATCACACACAGATGAGTGATTCATGATTGTTTACCACGCACAGATGAGTGACTCATGATTGTTTATCACATACAGATGAGTGACTCATGATTGACCACACACAGATGAGTGATTCATGATTGTTTACCACACACAGATGAGTGACTCATGATTGTTTATCACACACAGATGAGTGACTCATGATTGTTTATCACACACAGATGAGTGACTCATGATTGTTTACCACACACAGATGAGTGACTCATGATTGTTTACCACACACAGATGAGTGACTCATGATTGTTTATCACACACAGATGAGTGACTCATGATTGTTTACCACACACAGATGGGTGACTCATGATTGTTTATCACACACAGATGAGTGACTCATGATTGTTTACCACACACAGATAAGTGACTCATGATTGTTTATCACACACAGATGAGTGACTCATAATTGTTTACCACACACAGATGAGTGACTCATGATTGTTTACCACACACAGATGAGTGACTCATGATTGTTTATCACACACAGATGAGTGATTCATGATTGTTTACCACACACAGATGAGTGACTCATGATTGTTTATCACACACAGATGAGTGAGTCATGATTGTTTACCACGCACAGATGAGTGACTCATGCTTGTTTATCACATACAGATGAGTGACTCATGATTGACCACACACAGATGAGTGATTCATGATTGTTTACCACACACAGATGAGTGACTCATGATTGTTTATCACACACAGATGAGTGACTCATGATTGTTTACCACACACAGATGAGTGACTCATGATTGTTTACCACACACAGATGAGTGACTCATGATTGTTTATCACACACAGATGAGTGACTCATAATTGTTTACCATACACAGATGAGTGACTCATGATTGTTTATCACACACAGATGAGTGACTCATGATTGTTTACCACACACGAAGCAGTGAGTTAGACTTTAATCCACATAAAAATGTAATTTGTGGCTGTTTATGAAACATAATCAGTAGTCGCACAGTCTAGTGACTCATGACTTTACCACACACAAAAACCAGTGAGTTATGATTGTTTACCACACAAAGAGAAAAAACTCATGATTGTTTACCACACAAAGAGAAAAAACTCATGATTGTTTACCACACAAAGAGGAAAAACTCATGATTGTTTACCACACAAAGAGGAAAAACTCATGATTGTTTACCACACACAAATAAGTGACTCATAATTGTTTATCACACACAAATAAGTGACTAATGATTGTTTTCCACACAAAGAGGAAAAACTCATGATTGTTTACCACACCCAGATGAATGACTCATGATTGTTTACCACACACAGATGAATGACTCATGATTGTTTACCATGCACAGATGAATGACTCATGATTGTTTACCCACACACAGATGAATTACTCATGATTGTTTACCACACACAGATGAATGACTCATGATTGTTTACTACACACAAATGAGTGACAAATGAGTGACTCATGATTGATTACCACACACCGATGAATGATTCATGATTGTTTACCACACACAGATGAATGACTCATGATTGTTTACCACACACAGATGAATGACTCATGATTGTTTACCATGCACAGATGAATGACTCATGATTGTTTACCATGCAAAGATGAGTGACTTATGAATGTTAAACATACACAGATGAGTGACTAATGATTTTTTACCACAGACAGATGCGTGATTCATGATTGTTTACTACACACAGATTAATGACTCATGATTGATTACCATGCACAGATAAGTGACTCATGATTGTTCACCATGCACAGATAAGTGACTCATGATTGTTTACCATGCACAGATAAGTGACTCATGATTGTTTACCATGCACAGATGAGTGACTCATGATTGTTTACCATGCACAGATGAGTGACTTATGATTGTTTACCATACGCAGACAAGTGACTCATGATTGTTTACCACATACATGTCTCATGACTTATGACACAAATAAGTGAATCATGATTGTTTTCCACACAAAGAGGAAAAACTCATGATTGTTTACCACACCCAGATGAATGACTCATGATTGTTTACCACACACAGATGAATGACTCATGATTGTTTACCATGCACAGATGAATGACTCATGATTGTTTACCCACACACAGATGAATTACTCATGATTGTTTACCACACACAGATGAATGACTCATGATTGTTTACTACACACAAATGAGTGACAAATGAGTGACTCATGATTGATTACCACACACCGATGAATGATTCATGATTGTTTACCACACACAGATGAATGACTCATGATTGTTTACCACACACAGATGAATGACTCATGATTGTTTACCATGCACAGATGAATGACTCATGATTGTTTACCATGCAAAGATGAGTGACTTATGAATGTTAAACATACACAGATGAGTGACTAATGATTTTTTACCACAGACAGATGCGTGATTCATGATTGTTTACTACACACAGATTAATGACTCATGATTGATTACCATGCACAGATAAGTGACTCATGATTGTTCACCATGCACAGATAAGTGACTCATGATTGTTTACCATGCACAGATAAGTGACTCATGATTGTTTACCATGCACAGATGAGTGACTCATGATTGTTTACCATGCACAGATGAGTGACTTATGATTGTTTACCATACGCAGACAAGTGACTCATGATTGTTTACCACATACATGACTCATGACTTACTTGTTAGCTGCCACACATAAATTAGTGAGTGATGACTGTTTACCACATACAAACCGGTCAACTGTAACTGTTTACAACACAAAAACCAATGAGTGATGACCATTTACCACAAAAACCAGTCTCATAACACATAAATGAGTGACTCATCACTTACTTGTTAGCAACCACACAGAGACCAGTGACTCCGACCTCACTGACTCCATAATGATATCGAAGCTCTCCTGTCTCCGCCTCCCAGATTTCTATGTGGCCATTGCCACAGCCGGTCACAATGAGACCATGCAGCGTGGCCAAACACCACACAGGGGCTGCCTGGCCACACACCAGATCTTCATCTGTAGCAGATATGTCTATCATCGACTGATCCCCTGGTAGAGGGACATCAGCATTTAGATATTACAATAACTGAGACTGTAGCACTGTTACATTAGAACACCTAAGACTGAAGCATTGTTACATTAGAACACCTGAGACTGTAGCACTGTTACATTAGAACACCTAAGACTGAAGCATTGTTACATTAGAACACCTAAGACTGAAGCATTGTTACATTAGAACACCTGAGACTGTAGCACTGTTACATTAGAACACCTAAGACTGAAGCATTGTTACATTAGAACACCTAAGACTGAAGCATTGTTACATTAGAACACCTAAGACTGTAGCACTGTTACATTAGAACACCTAAGACTGTAGCACTGTTACATTAGAACACCTAAGACTGTAGCACTGTTACATTAGAACACCTAAGACTGAAGCATTGTTACATTAGAACACCTAAGACTGTAGCATTGTTACATTAGAACACCTAAGACTGAAGCATTGTTACATTAGAACACCTAAGACTGAAGCATTGTTACATTAGAACACCTAAGACTGTAGCATTGTTACATTAGAACACCTAAGACTGAAGCATTGTTACATTAGAACACCTAAGACTGAAGCATTGTTACATTAGAACACCTAAGACTGAAGCATTGTTACATTAGAACACCTAAGACTGAAGCATTGTTACATTAGAACACCTAAGACTGAAGCATTGTTACATTAGAACACCTAAGACTGAAGCATTGTTTACATTAGAACACCTAAGACTGAAGCATTGTTACATTAGAACACCTAAGACTGAAGCACTGTTACATTAGAACACCTAAGACTGAAGCATTGTTACATTAGAACACCTAAGACTGAAGCATTGTTACATTAGAACACCTAAGACTGAAGCACTGTTACATTAGAACACCTAAGACTGAAGCATTGTTACATTAGAACACCTAAGACTGTAGCACTGTTACATTAGAACACTTAAGACTGTAGCACTATTACATTAGAACACCTAAGACTGTAGCACTGTTACATTAGAACACCTAAGACTGTAGCACTGTTACATTAGAACACTTAAGACTGTAGCACTATTACATTAGAACACCTAAGACTGTAGCACTGTTACATTAGAACACCTAAGACTGAAGCATTGTTACATTATAACAGCTGAGATTCTAACACTGTTACATTATAATAACTGAGATTCTAACATTGTTACATACGAACTGCGGAGATGGTTGCACTTTTACATTACATAAACTGAGATTGTAACAATGTTACATTAGAACAGCTTCATCATCATCATCAGGTGCCTTGCCGTCTGGCGTGGGCGATTATGCCTCTCCATAATCCGCGATCTCCTGCAGCATGTATCAGTTCGTGTGCCGATACACCTCCATGCCAAGCAACAAGACTGTCAAGAATCTTCTCTCGTTGTCTTCCTCTATTCCTCTTTCCACAGATCTTTCCAGTGGTCACATGTTCTATTTTCCCTCTTCTCATAACATGGCTGAAAAACGATGACTGTCTCCTTCTGATGTCTGTGATAAGTTGTCTTCGGGCTCCCGCCTCTTTCAAAACCTCTTGGTTGCTCTTTTTGGCTGTCCAAGGTCTCATGATTAGAACAGCTTAGACATACATTTAGGCGAAGTTTATTCAGTTATTTCTTGCCAGCTAAGTTTTACTGAGGATATTTTCCTATTTCCGCAGCTTCTGTCACCCAGCTGAGTGCTTGGTGCAGTACATGGCATGCTGATGAGTGTACTCAAATGACGGGTACCAAGGATGTTCAGAATGGCAAGTACTGCTGCCCATGTGTGTGTGTGTGTGTGGGGGGGGGGGGGGGGGTGAAAGGATAAACCCACTGCTGCCCATGTTGTGTGTGTATGTGGGGGGGGGGGGGGGTGAAAGGATAAACCCACTGCTGCCCATGTGTGTGTGTGTGTGTGTGTGTGGGGGGGGGGGGGGGGGGGTGAAAGGATAAACCCACTGCTGCCCATGTGTGTGTGTGTGTGTGTGTGGGGGGGGGGGGGGTGAAAGGATAAACCCACTGCTGCCCATGTGTGTGTGTGTGTGTGTGTGTATGTGGGGGGGGGGGGGTGAAAGGATAAACCCACTGCTGCCCATGTGTGTGTGTGTGTGGGGTGGTGGTGGGGTAGGGGGGGGGGGTGGGGGGGGGGGGGTGAAAGGATAAACCCCTGCTGCTGCCCGTGTGTGTGTGTGTATGTGTGTGTGGGGGGGGGGGGAGTGAAAGGATAACCCCACTGCTGCCTAACAAGCATGTTATAAGAGTCGACTAATTAGGAATGTTCCCTCTGAAGTCAAAAGTGCCTGAGA